GGCTTGAACTCCAGTGTACCTGTAGGTTGGTAAGGGAGCAGTTGTTGTTAGATAGGGAAGGTTATTAAACCTTTTGCACCAATTGCATTGTCAAATGGTGTCTCTGATGAGCTGACGTCCTCCTTGAAGCCAGTATGTCTTGGCTATTTCTTGTTGAGTGTAAGCTGTAGATGAATGTTTATAAATGATGTGTTGAGTGTGAATGAATGCCCTTAAAAGGGGGTATGGTTGTTTGTTTTTAGGGATTGGCAAATGAATGAGAGTTTTCTTGGCCTGTTCAGTGAGGGGTGTTGCCCCTTTGATGTCAAAGGCTTGTCGACTGATTGAAACGATCATCCTTTGTGCAGAATCCCATTTGAGATCAGGCCTGTTCAACAGGATTTTCCCTGACAATAATTTCTTCCATTTTTTATGATCGTAATACTGCTGCATAATGCGTATGCCCTCTTGGTGGGCGCATTCCAGTTCCTCTGGAGTAAATGTTGTTATCATAGGCTTCGGGTAAATACCCTTTTTGTTTTTCAATGCTGGTGGTTTCTTTGGAGGTTGTTTTGCAGCTTTTTGAAGGCGATGTAAGCCTGCAATAATGTTTGTAACTTTCCCCCATGTTCTGGCATTCTTGAAGAGGGAATGGAATCTAGGGTTCTTGTTAGGCGATCGATCGAGTTGTTGAGCGCCATTGTTGCGAGAGCTACTGGAGTTGCGGTTGCGACCATTCTGGTTGCTGTTGTTCTGTGAATTGTTGTTGTTTCCGCCATTGTTTTGTCCATTGTTGTTTTGGTTTTGGTTGTTTCCAAAATTGTTTGCATTTCTGCTGTTATTAAACTGGGATGAGCTCCGAAATGACTCGTTGTTCCGAAAACGAGTACCCTGGTATCCTGTATTGCTCTGAGATCCATTGTTGTTCTGAGATCGATTGCTTCCCTGATATCCAGTGTTGTTCTGGTTATCATTGTTTTGTGAGGCATTGCTTTGCTGTTTGTAACATAGGGAAGAATGATGTGGTTTGTCGCAAGTTTGACATCTTCGGTTACTGCCACATGTAGGAATAGTATGATTGGATGCGAGGCAATTGTAACACAATTGTTTCTTCCGGACTACTTGAATTCGGTCCGGGATGCTCAATTTGCAATGAAAGGCGTTGTGTCCTTGTTGGCAGAATGGACATTTCCATTTGCGTTTGGAATTGGCGCTGGATCCTGATCCTTTGTAACTTGAACTTTTTTGAGATCGCCTGGGGGAATGATCGTCCCTATCTGATTTTTCAGGTGTTGATGAACAACTTCGATCTTTTTTGGATTTCTTGTCTCTTTGAGCGACGATCAGATTTTTTGGAGTTGTTATGACTCAACCTGCGAGGACTTTTGGATGCGTCCCGTTTCATTTTTTTGGAACTGGAATCTTTTTCGATGTCCTCTGTGTCGGATTTCTTGTCCGGCTCTTTTTCTTTAATCTGTTTGGAAATTGTTCCACTGAGGAATGTAAGTGCCGTAGGCGAAACTTCATCCTCTGGTGCTTCTGATCGTATAAACTTGCTAACCCATCGATATCGGTTTGCTGGGGTGCTTTCCCAGGTTGCAGATTCCGATGCGCGATGAGGTGGGTTTAATTCCAGCTCATGCAAAACGCTGTTTAGAAGTCCGCTTTTCCGCAGGTGTAGCTTGATTGTAGGCCACAGTCGAATGTGTACTTGTGGCATATTTGATCGTAGATTGTGAAGTTGGGTGGTGACATCTACCACCTTTTCCATGTACTTTGCCATATCATCGGCTGATGTCCCGTCTGGTTTTAATTTTTCGAACATTTTATAGATACACTGACGTGTTGCTTGTATGTTTCCATATTCTTCAATAAGAATTTTCAAAATCCGGCAGTAGTCGGATTCTTCGGTTTTGTCCGGTTGCCTGTCAACAAGATTGTTGGCCTTGCCATCCAAATAAAGTAGTAGCAAGCCGATTCTTTGTGACGGCGTGATGAATTTGGATGGAATGATATGGATTTTGTAAAAATTCGACCAAAAACGGTCAAAGGTGTATTCTTCCTCAGGATTTCCGCTGAAGCGTTTGAAAGAGGGGAGCACCGTTTTCTTTTCCAGGTCACGTACAAATGATGAACTCGGTTGTGGCATGCTTGTTGCTGATGCATACGTGTGCAACGCAGCCAAGTATGGATCCGTTTCATCGTCGATTTCCAACAGTCTATGGGACTGTGTTTGAAATTTTTGGTACGGGACAAGTTCCCGTTGCGTACTAGTTGAGTATTGGGATGGTGCGTCTTTTTCCTCAGGTGTAAATACACCAGGGACGAGTTCCACACTCGGTGGTCCCGAGAATTGGACGCCAAGTATGCACGCCTGTTTAGGGCGTAATTCTAGCCAATTTGTCTGTAACTGTTCCGGTGTTCGAAGAATGATGGCATTTAATTCATCGCACAATTGCGAGATTTGCGTTTGCTCCGCATCCTCAAAATGATGTTGTTTCAAGGAAATAAAGTAAATGGATGCCGTCATAAATACCTGATGTTTCTGAACGAACATTTGGAACGTATCTGCACTGAGGTGCTGTTTGAAAGCCTCGTCACACAAGTATATTGCGTGTGCGAGGGTCACGACCTGTTGAATTGTAGGATTTGGGTCGAAATGGGTTAACGTACTTGTTGTAGAGTTGCCCGTCACTGAAGGTGGTGGTGACGGGTTGGGGAGCAGTACGACAGGTTGCCGCGGCGGTCTGCATAAGTCGTCGGACGCTCCGTGGTGCTGTTTCTAAATTTGAGTCTGGCCTATTTGCCGTATTCTCGGGGGGTGGTAGGACATCACCCCCTTGCAAAGTTGTTAATGGGATTGCACCAATTATTTCACTGTGTAAAGCACTAGGGGGATCACCGTAGCGGGTTGGAGGCTTACTCGTCCGCGTACGAGTGAAAGAAGCACTGGTGGGTACAGCTGATTTACCGCGAGGCATTGTAATGTTTTTAGGTGCACTTCACACTTTTTGAATGGTTGTTTTGAAAAATGTTTCAAATTGAGGATTGTTTAGATGTTTTCACCAAGGATTGTTTGTCAAGATTTTTCCAAGACTTTTGCACAGTCCTGTACTCTGATCTTTTTGTTTGTATCTATTTTTTACTGGCCACCACTTTTGTCAGGGGCTTTTAAGCCTCTCAGACAAAGATTTGATTTTCACTTATGGTCAGTGAAAGAAAGGTATAACACAATCAGCCGTTTGCGGCCTGAGGTCAATACCTCAACTTCAAGTTTGATTATATTCAGTAAATGTCCAAAGTTCAATAATTCAGCACACACAAATTTAGCTCCTTCTTCAGTCAAGTCTGGATTGATTCTGGCTGCTCCTGAGAGGGGTTTATGAAGAGGTGCAGGTCCTCATTAGTGGAAAGTTTATTCAAGGCTTTCCACTGATGTGTATCTGATTGGTGTGCACACAGAATTCCTCATCATTCCTTTTGATCACCAGGGCTGATTCATCAGTTGAATAGGCCCTGGAGATCAATATCTCCAAGGCTGGTTCTTTTTGCTAGATTTCCTTGGAATCTTGTTTTTTTGATTTTGGTTGGAAATTCATGTTTCATAACTGGTTTTATGTAATCATCTTCTGGAAGAAGATGGATTAATTTTTCTGGAATATTGAGACGACGTGGCGTTTTGTACGCTGCGTCGATCTTTTCTTCTTCTGTTTGTACTCCTGACTCGGGCGACATCTAGTCGTTCCGAGAAAAGCGGCGTGTCAGCGGGCGACATCTGTTCGACCCGTGACAGGGACCATTCCCAATTTTCACCAACATTATTCCTATCAATAACAGCCTGAGTGGGGAGCTATTTTCGCTGTGACCCCACAGTAGGTGCACACCAGGGTCACAACTGGAGCATATGGGATATTCTGGGGGTACAAGTGTGCACTCCTGTAGAGGAAATTTTGCTACCATTCCAGGGTTACACTTGATGCACAAATGTGAAATAACAGGAGCATCACACAAATGCACCAACTGTAACCTTGGTGTAACTTATTTATTTACAACCATGACCCTGAGTAATCCTGGTGTGAACACACAATTGGTGCACATTGGGGATATGCATGTGCAACAGAAGAACTTTGGTACACTTCAGGTGCACAGCAGGGTCACTGTGTAGAATTACAAACAAATCCCCAGTGTGCACCAATTTCCCCACTCAGGAGGCTAAAACTGCTTGATTGCTTCTCAACTTAATTTTTGCCATAAAATTTGTGGTTGGAGGACTTCGGCAGGTATTTGAAAATTTTCTGCAGGTCTGTAATAATTTCGTGGAACTAACAGGCAGTCTGCAAAAAAAATGTTGAGGAAATTGGCTGCTGGTCTGTGTCTGTGGGCTTCAAAAGGTTGGGGAACACTGAGCTTTAGAATAAGGGAACTTGCCTCCTGGCAACAAGTAGGGGCAGGCATCCACTTGTGCTGCAAAATCTTTGAAGGCAAATTTTTAGCCAGCCTGATGAGCCAAGAAACTTTCACCATTTGCAAAAACTTCACGCTGGAATCGTCCAGGTGTTGCATTGGCTTGTTCCTTTGGATGAAGCCCTTGATGAACCTGATGATTGAATTAAAAGGAAAAAAGTAATACTTTTTTTTAGCAATTACATTTGAAGCAATGATGGTGAACAAACCCTCTGATGACAGTGACAGCCTTCTTCCTCTTGGCCAATTCCCTCTTGGCCAGGACTCTTTTCCAATATTTGGAAATCGTTGTAACGGCGGATCTCATCTGCAAATACTTCCTCCTTTGCAATCTGCCCTTGTACACAGCTTGGATTTTGCTCGCCAATTCGTGCTTGCGCCTCTGGAAGGCATCCTCAATGGCGAAAAGTGTTTTGGATTCTCTAATGAACACTTTTGTCCTGAAAGGTATAACATTCGTTTTACAGTATATTTAATCATCTCTGCCAAATATCCTAGCATAAAACAAGCTTTAAACTTCCACATGTATAAAAGGGATCTGATATGAAAGTTTTATCAATACCTTTGAAATGGAGATTATCTTTGAGCAAAGAAGGTTCCCAGTAATATTCCATCAAACCACACTATTGCAGTGGTGTCATCAATAGTTAAAATTATATTAGAGACACTTTCTGAAATCTTAAAGGATCAAGATAAATTGTTGGCCTTATATGATTTCTCATCAAAGATTCTCTCTAATTTGTGCATTCAACTAAACCTCATACAGAAGCAAACTGAAGACCTTGTGCTTTAAATAAACTTTTACTGCTACTTTGTTTTCAATGTCAGGAAATGCGTGGGTGTATGCATACATGTTAGATGTCCAGTTTTATTTTGCGGAGTGTGTTCTCTTTTATTTTTGTCATCAATTTGTGCTTTGTTTCCTGCTGTGAAGTGATTGAATGTCTTTGAGGGGAATTGGGTTGGGTGGGGAAGGGGTTTGGATGCAGGAGTCTTGGTTGCTGTGCCTTGTGAATGCTGAAAAGCGGCAAATAAGGTGTTCTGTTCCTTCATTCATTCACATCAATTTTCCAAGTACTTTGGTCATGTTTGATCACAGTAAACTCACATGAAGAACAATTTTCATCATGTGTCAACAATTTTCTATGGCACTGTAAGCATTATTGTTTTGAATTTAATTATAAAGCAAGCTTTATTTTCCACTGTTCAGAATTCACTAGGTTCAAGCAATGTTCCCACATCCAAATCCTCTCCCCTCTCCACCCCCATTCACCCAAACACATTCCATCACATCAGATTTGAAAAAAAAAAACCTGTACATGGATATTAAAAGGAAAGAAAATACATCCCAAAATGTACCATTGCACACCAATGTAACTACATACAATTTCTTTACTTCCCTGATAAATAAAAAGAAAATACTGTACCAGTAATAAGAATTACAGCATCATAAGGCAATTACTGAGCCCAAATTAAAGCACAAGGTATTTAGCATGCTCCCAGAGAACGTTTAGTGGATTAAACAATTTGGAGAGAACCTTTGATGATCAATCATATAAGGTTAACAGTTCATCTTGGTCCTCCATGATTTTGGAAAGTATTCAACTACCTCCAAGTATTTTTGAAGTCTTTGCTGAAAACATACATTTTATCATGGACTTCTGGATAATTGTATTTGCTGATTGCTTTTTATGTGTGTGAGAGGAAAATATAGTCTTCAGAGAACATCCAAGCAAAGAGGATGCTTCTGATTTATTCCATCTGAAGGCCATGCAATGTAAACACTACTTCTAAAATTACAGTGCTATATGCAGTTCAACCTGCAATAGCCAACTTTCTCACTGCTGTATATGCTATACACACTTGAATATACTGGGACAAAAGAAAATCCAACCATAGTTTACAATATAATACAGTACAGTATACTCACTCCCCCATTTGGTAGTCCTCAGATGAGCCAGTGAATTTGTCCATGATGATCTTCACACCCTGCTTGGGGGTTCCAGCAGTGTACCTGGGCCAGGTTTGTGGACACAAGCTCTTGTAACGCTCCAAAAATGGCTCATACTGTCTGCGATAAGCAAAACCTGCTCTTCTCACTCTCAGGTTCTCCATCAGTCCCAAGTACCTCACTTGGTGAGTCACAATCTCCCTATTGAATTCCCCTATAATGAGAAAAATAATTCAACACATTTTAGGTTGATATGTGTGGTACAGGAGTTATATAGAGCAGTGGCCTGCAACCCATGGCCTGGAGAATTTTTTGAAGGTCCAGAGGACATTTTGTTTAGCAATTAGCATGTTAAATTTACCTAAAGCAGTAAATTATTTCTGAGAGACAATATGACAATTGAAATGATCTGATGAAAATTAAAAGGTGGTTTCTCCAAAAATAAAACGCTTCAGACAAATTTTCACTTGCTGGAATAAATTATTCCAGATACTGTGAGACCCTGATAATCAAACACACTGACATACTGACAATTAAACTTAAAGACACTTGAAAACCAAAATATCAGGCCCAAAATCTGGACATTGGCTCAAGTTATTAGGACACTTTCCATAAAATTCCCCAAAAGATCAAAACATTTTATTTTCAAATCTTGATATCATTATTTGAAGAGATCAAGCTATTTAAATTCACAAACATTGAAAAAATATTTCATGATAAATTCACTCTAATTCATAATCAAAAGCAAGCTGATGTTTTGCTTCTTTTTTTTCAGAGTTTTTTTCCTTTCATCTGTGCATATTCTGGCACAACTTATTCTTTTCCTTTGCTTTTTGATTTCCTTCTGATGCCAAAAGATAAGATTCTATGTGGTTTTGTTCTGCACTTTTGTTTTCTAAAACTTCAAGTTGTGAGAAACAATTTGTATTACATTTTTAGGGCTTATTTCTAATTTTTGACAAAAAAGGAGAATCAATTAAATACATTAGAAGTGAAGTCTAATGGAAAATGAGAATAAACTAAGGGACATTCCCAAATCAGGACAATCTTGATGTTATAATTACATCTGCATCTTGGACCAATGTTGTGTCTGCACTGTATTCATTCTGAGGAACATTTTTGAAGCCCAGCTTTTTGAAGACATTCCACTCTAGCTGCTTCACTGGTTCTTAGCCTAATGTTTGCAATACAATTTTTGATTGGAGGACTTTATGGAAGGTATTTAGAAAATCTTTGATGGCATTCAAAAAATTTATTGGAAATTTGCTGGTCTGCAGACCCAGTTTCCAATCCCTTTTCGTGTTTGACGAATATATCTCCAATGTACCGAATGAATGGTCTGAAGAACTTCAGTAATCCGAACTACGTGGACTGCATTCTTCCGAGAAACCTGTACTCTTAACTTTAGTTGTTGTTGACACTGCTTTTGAATTGGGTGGCAGCAGTGTCAGGCCTCTTCTTTCCCTCCAGCTCTGACTTGGGGTACACTGCATTAACCACTTCATTCTTGGCCTTGGACATGGTGTCCTTCAAGTCCCTGAACAGCAGGTCATTATTCTTGTCCAGGAACCCAAGAATATTATAGGTCACTGATCCAGCATAGTGCAGCAAAATGAATTCCTATTCAACAAGGAAGTATAGAGTACAATAATGTTGTGACGCAAAATGAATACATTTCTAGCAATTAAAATAAAAATGTGTAAGAAGTATATTTTATTTCACAGTACAGTATCTTATTTTTTCATATCTGCATACTTATTTTAAAGTAGAGGAATATTCTTTCAAACAAATTGTTCAGTTGAAAGAAAGGGAGCCATTTATCGCTAAATTCAAAAAAGGACCTGCAGTATAGAGTTATATCCTTCTGAACAAATGAATTTTTATCACATTGAGCTTTTCTTTTTTTTTTTTAAATATTTTTATAATACTGCACAAGTCAGATTTTTCATATTTTTGACCAATTGGCAAAAATCCCAAAACTGCTCATGTACAGAATAAAAAAAATTTTATAATACAGTACTCAAGAGAAATTACAGATGAAAATAATATTATTTAAACCAAATTTCTATAACACAATTTTTAAAATTAATCACGGGACACTGAAAAACGTTTCGCACCGAAAAATTACTTTATAACGAGGTTCGTTTCTCGGAATTTTACTGCATCTACAATTTAAAAAGATATAAAATTGGTTGATGAAGAGTGACTTGATTCTTTATACTTGATCAGCAGTTTTAGTCCCTCTTTTGACTGAGGGCTGCGGCGCCTTGAAGAATTGGTGCGAGGTGCCGAAAGAATTCCTCATTTTGTGCAGGAATGTGGCATCTGTAGGATCACCGGGCCTCAGACATTCTTCATCCATAATTGATATTATTCCTGCATACATACACAGATTAAAGTAAACTTCGTACAGTAGCCATCAAACGAACCAATGGCAGATAAAACTACCTTTGTGAACAGTTTCAATCATTTGGCAGATGGGTTTGTTATCAAAGAACTCAATGGTGGTCCATTGGATGCCCTCCCTGAGATACTCTTCTTGCTCGCTCTTCAGCGTCAGCTCAATGAGTCCCTGAACAGCAGGTCATTATTCTTGTCCAGGAACCCAAGAATATTGTAGGTCACTGATCCAGCATAGTGCAGCAAAATGAATTCCTATTCAACAAGGAAGTATAGAGTACAATAATGTTGTGACACAAAATGAATACATTTCTAGCAATTAAAATAAAAATGTGTAAGAAGTATATTTTCTTTCATAGTGCAGTATCTTATTTTTTCATATCTGCATACTTTTTTCAAAGTAGAGGAATATTCTTTCAAACAAATTGTTCAGTTGAAAGAAAGGGAGCCATTTATCGCTAAATTCAAAAAAGGACCTGCAGTATAGAGTTATATCTTTCTGAACAAATGCATTTTTATCACACTAAGCTTTTCTTTTTTTTTTGAAATATTTTTATAATACTGTACTACACAAGTCAGATTTTCATATTTTTGACCAATTGGCAAAAATCCCGAAACTGCTCATGTACAGAATAAAAAATTTTTTTTGCAATACTCAAGAGATATTAAAGATGAAAATAAGCTTATTAAAACCAAATGTTTAAAACACCATTTTTATCATTATTGCAGGCGGAACACTGAAAAACTTCTTGCACCAAAAAATTACATTATAACGAGGTTCGTTTCTCGGAATTTTACTGTATCTACAATTTAAAAAGAATTAAATCAGTTGATGAAGAGTGACTTGATTCTTTACTTGATCAGCAGTTTTTGTCCCTCTTTTGACAGAGGGCTGCGGCGCTTTGAAGAATTGGTGCGAGGCGCCAAAAGAATTCCTCATTTTGTGCAGGAATGTGGCATCCGTAGGATCACCGGGCCTCAGACATTCTTCATCCATAATTGATATTATTCCTACATACATACATAGATTAAAGTAAACTTCGTACAGTAGCCATCGAGCGAATCAATGGCAGCAATTTTGATGGAAACACTTGTCAAAGTTAGTAAACCGTCTACCCAAACAATAGTTTCTTGAGTTACCACCAGGTAACCTACGGGAGGGACTCTATGAGAAGAACGAGCGAGAAGTCGCAGTCGAGTTACAACACCTGGTGCAACTTTTCATTGCAGTAATTTATGCAGAACTGCTCGAAGCTAAAACAAAAAATCAAGAAAACGAGAAACTTTTAAATTTCCAACGTCAGTTTTTCGTTTTGCAGAGATGAGAAGAGAATAAGAATACCTGTTGGTCTTGAAAATTTCAAAGCCATAAATGTCCAAGATTCCCATGACGCAACCGAACCTCGGGTCGGGACCTCGTCGTCGTCAGAGAAGTCGATGGGAGTCCCGTAACAACTAGGAAGGGTGGTCGGTTCACTTCTGAGACCTTATCCAACGGAAACGGTCCCGTAGGGACCGTATGTCGCCTTGCTCCTTGTTCAAAGGGGTAGTCACAAACTCTCCTCTTGCTTCAATTGTCCTGTGGGTCAGGGCTTTCTCCAAAGCATCTGCTGCACATCCGAAGAGCTGAAATTTTGATTGAAAATTATATACAGTGTTCAAACATCAATTCAGAGCCACAAAATGCATCAGGATAAATCATCCTCTACACCTGAAACAAAAGCCAAATTTTTTGAATAGATGGTAATACTGTATTTAATGTTTGATAACACTGTATTCAATAATTGATAATACTGTATTCAATAATTGATAATACTGTATTCAATAATTGATAATACTGTACTCAATAATTGATAATACTGTATTCAATAATTGATAATACTGTATTCAATAATTGATAATACTGTATTCAATAATTGATAATACTGTATTCAATAATTGATAATACTGTATTCAATAATTGATAATACTGTATATATTTAATTATAAAATTGTATTTTTAAAATTATAATACTTTATTCAATAAATTATTATACAGTACATAGTACAATATATTATGCAACTGCAGCCCTTTATTTACTTGATGAAATAAAAATGCCAGCTATCTTTCATTATTTATGGAACTTTTAATAAAATAAAAGAAGTTTAGCTCATTTAGTACCTTTAGGTACTCCTGGAGTTTTAAAAGAAAATAAAATGAAAAAATGAAATTATTTGTAAAATTATTAAAAATCTGACTAAATCTACAGATAAATATGATACTATATCTTTTTAATTATACTGCTGCATTTATTCAAGTATTCTGGTGACTTGTATGCCTTATGCCTCAAAAATTGGAGTGCATGTCATAATCAAGTACAAAAATTTCCTGCTAATTTTCCAAATGTTGGGCATCATCATTTGACTACATCATAGATACATCAGAAAGGAGAAGCAAACTGGATTATATTTTATTAGAATCTGCATTGATAATTTCAGCTGTTCTAATTCTTGAATTGGTAAATATTTTGATTGAAAATTGTGGAGTCAACTTGGAATAAGTTTGTACCTATAATTTTGCAGCTCAAAAATTAAGGTGCAAGAAAAAGTGATACTTGAATAAATCCTTGCACTATAATCCTTAAAAGTAGTTGCTGTTTTTGCAAGACGTATAATCTGAAATTTCTCTGAATATATGAGAGCTTTGCAAGCATGAAAATGAATGATAACTGTTATATTCACATTAAAGTGGTTGTCCATTTGATCAGCACTGGGCATCTCAATGATCCACAGTTTCAAAAGTTTCAGTGCATTTTTTTTACATGATGCTTCATTTCCTCCAGAGAAAAGATTGACTGACCTGAACAGCCTTCAACAAGGCATCCCTACTCTTGGCAGGAACTTCTGCATAGTTGTTGGGTCCTTCTTCAAGCTCCACATTCCCAAGATGCAAAATGCCAGCAACAGTTGACAGAATATGCTTCTTTTCTTCAGCCTGCACTCCACATGTATCCATGGCATGTTCCATAATTTTCCACTGGCCAACATCATCTTGTGACTTGTGAGAGTGCTGATTACCTCCACCCTGACATTTCATAGGAATGATTGCAATCAAAATGATGCATGCTTTATTGTAAATTCAACAATACCATACCTGCTTCATGTATTGGTACTGACTGATATCTCTGGTCAGGTGAAGGCTGGAGAGTCTCTCATCTGAAGCTCCATTCAAAAGTTGATAGAATATGTGGAAGTTTCTTTCCCCATTTGCTTGGTAAACCACTCTGCTTTTTTCCAGGAGGTAGCTCAAGATGTGCCCACCAACTGGTTCCCCCTAAAAGATAAAAAAAAAGAACATTCGCCAATGCAATGCTGAGTCAGTATTCAAGCCCAACCACATCTAATACATTCCTTGGGTAAAAATAAAATAATCCTGAACTTGAACAATTTTGCATTGCCATCCCAAATGTACATTTTGATCAACCCTCACATTTAGTGCCACTCTTGCTTAGTGTCACAAAATTCATCCAGATAAATCTTCCTCTATTATACACACACTTGACACAAGACCCATAAGTTTAAAAATAACTATCATACTGTATTCAATAAATTACACTACTGCATATTATAAAATACAATGCAGTATTTTATAAACTATAGTACATTTAATAACATAGTATACAGTACTGCATTAAAAAATTATAGTACTGAACTGCATTGAATAAATTGCAGTATTGTATTCAATAAATTAAAATTATTGATCTTCAGAAAGTTCATGAAATTATGTCTTTCAATTCATGAATCTTTGTGTGCAAGCATTTTTGATGCATGACTGTTGTGATTCTAGGCACAGTACACTATTTGACATCATTTCTTGGGAATGTCTTATCCAATCATGACATATATTATTCAGAATTCAGTTTCACCTTGAAGTCAAATGCAATGTCCATGTATTTTCCAAATCTGGATGAATTATCATTCCTGGTGGTGGTGGCATTGCCAAAGGCCTCCAGCAAGGGATTGGAGAGCAAAAGCATCTCTTTGACCTGTGCAACCACAGAATGCCCACTGGCATTGGCAACATACTCCAAGATTCTCTTGGAAGCTTCAGTCTTTCCAGCTCCACTTTCACCTGGATACAAGTTGAAAAAATTGATATTGTAGAGTAAAAAAAAATCAGCAGTCAGAAAGTTGCATGAGCAAAATTACAGTGAAGTTGAGCCTCAATACATGAACAATATGACATTCATGGACACTTGATACTCCTATCTGCCTCAACATCAGGACAATGTCTCAAGATATGGACACATTTAACTCAGACCTGCCAAAAATCAGGAGAATGTCTCAAATATGGACACTTTAACAAATTTTCAAAAAAGGTTTCAAATATCATTTCCAAAAAGTTTGATAAACATATCTAGAACTAGTTGTGCTAATACCATGACATAAATAATAAATTCAAAATAAATTTCATCATAAATAAATTTCATCATAAATACATTTCATCATAAATAAATTTAATCATAAATAAATTTAATCATAAATAAATTTAATCATAAATAAATTTCATCATAAATAAATTTCATCATAAATAAAGTTCATTTCATTTTGCAATGCAGGCTAATTTTGTGCTTTTCCTTTCAGGGATTTTGAATCAACTGTAAATTACAATACTGCATATAAATATTTGTTTATTGTCTTTCAAACTTTTTTCTATGCCAAAAGGCCAGATCCTGTATGTTCTTCTCATGTACAGTTATTTTCTAAATCTAAATTGAAGTGGAGAAAATATTTGATTTTCCTGGAGAAGTTCTCAACTTTTTTTGTGCCAAACATGAAAAGCAATCAATAATTTTCCCATTGAAGTTCATAGAAAAATCTAATGCAATATGGGGATTTCTCAACATATGGGGACAGTACATGAGAAGTAATGATGTCTGCATCTTTATTGTTGCTCCACTGCATCAGATTATCATCAATCATTAAAATATTCTTCAAGGTATGTGAAAAATTGAATGCATATTCAAAATTATTTCATCTTTTGATCAGTGCATTTTTTCTTTTGTGAAAGTGATTGAGGAATTTTGATCAGAGGCTTTCATCATTGAAACGTTCCAACACACTGATTCAGCCAGTCATACACATGGTACAGTATATTCATGCATTCCAAGCATAATTCTCACCCGATATCAGGACACATTGATCCCTGTTCTCTTGCTTCAAAGACCGATACGCTGTGTCAGCGATGGCAAATCTATCGGGGAGGGAAAAAAATAAGGACACATTTTCAATTTTTTGCAAAATTTACCCTGGCAGAGTTTTGCTATACACTGAACAGATGAGGCACCCTTCCTGCAGTTTTTTTTTTGCCCAGTTTTCCCCTCAGAATTCTTGAAATCAACTTGGCATTCTCTCTATGGGTTGCCTCCAGGTCATCTAAGGCAATTCCGCTATTTTCATCGACAGCCGCCTTCACAGCCGCCAAAGTGGCGGCCACTTTTTTTCCAGCTCGAAAGTGGCGGCTGTGACGGCGGCTATCGATGAAAATGGCGGAATTGCTTCAGATGACCTGGAGGCAACCCTTAGAGAGAATGCCAAGTTGATTTCAAGAATTCTGAGGGGAAAACTGGGCAAAAAAAAAAATGCAGGAAGGGTGCCTCATCTGTTCAGTGTATAGCAAAACTCTGCCAGGGTAAATTTTGAAAAAAATTGAAAAAAATTGTCAAACTGGGCAGATTTTTTTTTTGTGCCAAAGAATATGGTTGCCCTAAAGAATCATTTTTTTCCAGCTCGATTAGACGCCATCTTCATTTTCATTCCGAAAACTTTTGTTAGAACCCTCGTATATGAACAATATGACATTCAGGGACACTGGATACTCCTATCTGCCTCAACATCAGGAAAATGTCTCAAGATATGGACACATTAAACTCGGACCTGCCAAAAATCAGGAAAATGTCTCAAGATATGGACACTTTAACAAAATTTCAAAAAAGGTTTAAAATGTCATTTCCAAAAAGTTTGATAAACATATCTAGAACTAGTTGAGCTAATACCATGACATAAAATAATAAATTCAAAATAAATTTCATCATAAATAAAGTTCATTTCATTTTCCAATGCAGGCTAATTTTATGCTTTTCCTTTCAGGGATTTTCAATCAACTGTAAATTACAATACTGCGTATAAATATTTGTTTATTGTCTTTCAAACTCTTTTCCATGTCAAAAGAGCAGGTCCTGTATGTTCTTCTCATGCACAGTTATTTTCTAGATCTAAATTAAAGTTGAGAACACTTTTTCCGATTTTATTTTCCTGGAGAATGTCTTCAACTTTTTTTTGCCGAACATGAAAAGCAATCAATAATTTTCCCATTGAAGTTCATGGAAAAATCTGATGCAATATGGGGATTTCTGAACATATGGGGCACAGTATATGAAAAGTAATGATGTCTGCATCTTTATTGTTGCTCCACTGCATCAGATTATCATCAATCATTAAAATATTCTTCAAGGTATGTGAAAAATTGAATGCATATTCAAAATTATTTCATCTTTTGATTAGTGCATTTTTTTGTGTGAAAGTGATTGCGGAATTTTGATCAGAGGCTTTCATCATTGAAATGTTCCAACACACTGATTCAGCCAGTCATACACGCATATAGTATATTTTCATGCATTCCAAGCATAATTCTCACCCGATATCAGGACACATTGATCCCTGTTCTCTTGCTTCAAAGACCGATACGCTGTGTCAGCGATGGCAAATCTATCGGGGAGGGAAAAAAATAAGGACACCCTCATCATCATCGTCCTGAATAAGCCCAGTCATCAAACACTTGATCAGTTCGGAATTCCAGGTTATCTTTCTTATTTCCCCTCTTGTCGGGAATGATGATAAGAAGAACAGAAATCTGGGAGACGAATTTCTGTGTGACGAAGGAAATAAAGGAATAAGGGAAGAATAACTCACACGTGAGGGGGGACCTCGAAGAAATGCACATTTCTGTAATCCTTCATGTGCTGTTTGGAGTGGATCCCCAGTTCTCTGTAGGGGTTCACTATTATCAGCACTGGTCCAATGTATGTCTGCAATAATGAGAGGGGGAAAAACAAAAGCAAAAAAAAGTGAAGCATTATGCAAATGATTGAATGAATCTTCAATCAATGGGTTCAATTGTAACAAGAATTCCCTGAACTTGCTTTTGGATTCAGCTGGAGAAAAAATTTAGAAACAGAAAACAACCTTGATTAATCTCAGATGACCAAGATAAACTGTTAAAATTTATACAATTTCTCCACAAAGATTCTCTCCAAATTGTTTGATCAACTGAAAGTTATTTGGGAGCAGGCCAAAAACCTTGTGCTATTATATGTGTTCAGTAATTGACTTATGCTGAAATATTTATCATGAGTATTGCCTAATTTTTAATTGGGGAAATACTTCAGAAGCAGAAAAGACCTTGGATAATCTTAGATGACCAAGTTAAACTGTTAAACTTTATACAATTTCTCCACGAAGATTCTCTCCAAATTGTTTGATCAACTGAAACTTATTTGGGAGCAGGCCAAACACCTTAAGCTATAATTTGTGTTCAGTAATTGACTAAAAAAACTGAATTTAGTAATTGACAAAATTGACTATGCTGAAATCTTCATCGTGAGTATTGTCTAATTTTTAGTGGGGAAGGGACAGAAAGTGTATGCATTTGAAACAGTTGTGCAAGTGTAATTTTTGGGATGTACAGTCAACCCCTGCACAATGGATTTTTGCACAACAGACCACATCTGGAGGAAATTTTTTCCTCCCACGCAATGGACCAACTTGGCATAACAGACTTCTCTTTGTTTTAAAATTAATGGCAATAAGTAAAAAATTCAATATTTTAATAATTGAATTTGCATAACAGACTTTTCACACAACAGACTACAAATGGTACCTTGCAATTTGACCCTAATTTGTTACTGGACTTGACCCTAATATCCATTGCTGAACTAGGGTCAAATTGCAAAGCATTTGAACTTTGAGATAATGTCCAATCATATGTTTTCTACACAGCATTTGACATTTCATGTCTCTTCACAGGTCAAATTGTGCAGCAGAGGTCAAATTGAGAGTTGAACTGATGGTTGAATTTTGGTGGGTCAAATGGCAAGGAACCCCCAGAAGTCTGTTGCAAAAATTAAGTCCTCTGTGTGGGGGTGGACAGTATTTTCTTTTCTTGTAACATTCATATATACATCTTATTTCTCTATTTTCCATCCTCATGTGATGGACTGTGTTTTGGATGAATGTGGGTGGGGAAAGGAGAGGGGGGTTTGGGTATGGGAACATTGCTTGAACCTTGTGAACACTGAAAAGCAGATAATAGAGCTTATTGACCAAATCAATCAGAAATGAACTGTATCATCTGTTTTACATATACTAGATACTCACGTAAATGTGATTGGCTTTGAATCTCTTGTCCAGGTTGTCAATGAAGACATCCTCATCCAGGTATTTTTCCAGCAAAACAGCATCATGCACCCCAACGGTAGACCTCGCATGCAAATGCCCCTCCATATCCCTCACAACAATACACCAAAATACTCCTGACAATCAAAATAAAAAAGACATAAAAACTGCAATAATTTTTCAAAATTGCTATTATTAAAAAAATAGCAACACTGCTTCAGTTTATTTTGAAAATGATTTCAAAAATTCCAAAACAATGAAAGTCTCTCTTTTCACTGCGAATTTCACTCACTTGGCAGTCGAAAAACAAACTTTATGCTATATTACAGAGGTATTTTTGAGTTTTCAAAAAAAACGAAAGTACATCAGTAGAACCTGAACTTAATTTTAATTGTCTTTGATTTCAAAATGTCCCACCAAAAACTCCCTTAAAACCACCAGAAAAAATACTATTATACTTCATCAAACACTCTTTTACTTGAAAAATAAAAAAAACACTGCTTCAGTTAATTTACGAAATGATTTTCGAAATTTGAGATAAAAGATCTCACTTCTCACTCACTCACACTCCATAAAAAAAACCTTTTTGTTGCTGGTTGTATGCATTGTAGTATAAAATTTTTTAAAAAGTAAATCAGCACAAACAGAAACTCCACGTAGTAGTCGTCTTCAACTTCGAACTGTTCAAACCTGGAATTGAAACTTTTTTTTTCGCAAAAAATTCAAAATTTCTGCTTGTCAAATTCATATTGCAGTAATAATGTACCGTTTGCGTTTCAACCTTCATTCAAATAATCACGATTCTTTTCATGAGGGTTTAATTTAAGATTGAGAAAAGTTTCTTGGCGAAACCTTCGATTTTCTTGAGAAACTAAAAAATAAAACTTTTCAAATTCTGATTTTTTTTAAATTATATTTCTATTTTCTGCGTCTCAAATTCATCTTTCATAAACACTCATTTCTACTTTGAAGCAATCGAAATCCTGTTCATGGAAGTTGAATAAGTTTGAGCCAAGTTTTTCGAAACTTTCGAATTTTTTTCAAGGAACTCGAAAAAAATTTTTTTTTCAAGCTCCGAATTTCTTGCCAGAATACAGTATTCCATTCACATTTCATGCTTGTCCAATCAATCTTTCACAAATACTCGTATCTTCAATATAAATTCTTCTCGCGAAATTTGAACTATTTTGAGCATAGTTTTTCGGGAATTGCGATTCTCTTTAAACTTACTTGGAAAACTGAAAACAACGTGAGAGAAATCAGCAGCTTCCTTCCATATCGAAAAAAACGCAAATCCAGCACTTTTTTTTATTTTTCTGCACACTCGGGATCGATACTTTATTGGATTCGGCACGAAATTAAAGGAGGTTAACCCTTCTTTAATACCCTTCTTTCATTTCTGAGGGTCCAAGGGTTAATATTGTACAACGAGAGAGAAATAGAGGAATTTATTCTTGCAAAAGCTGTGTCGAACGGTTAACAGGGAATTTTCCCGCGAGTCCAAAGAATTATGAAAACCAAATACAGTATTTTGTTTTCAATTTATGATATTAGCTTCATTCTAACCACATCATCAATTCTTCATGTTTACAGAGGCGCGAATGAACCTAGGAAATACAAAAATGTTGATCACCGTTATTCAAAATTTCCGAACCGACGATTATTTCACGAATTGCCAGTTTTACACGCAAAAAGCTTTCTTATTATGAGAGGAATGGATGCTCACGAAAATTTTGTTCGATGCTTCGGCGACGATATAAAGAAACTTATTTGATTGTCCAGGTGAATATTTCTCATATTTGATGGAATATTACAGTATATTTCCAATGCCTGAATTGAAGTTGATTATTCCTGGATACGAAGGAGGATTGACATTTAAATGGTGGTTCAATAGTTTCTCATCAGATGCAGTATTCATTTTTAAAATAACAGGGACGTGATTGGTTTGTGCAATCAATCATAGCATCATCATCAGCGTCTCAACATCACCGAACAGAACTTTTCAAGGGCTTCCTACATAAAACTTCAAAGTCTGAAACGTTTCATTGACTCGTTTTGTATAGTCATATCATTTCATGCCGAAGANTCCTACATAAAACTTCAAAGTCTGAAACGTTTCATTGACTCGTTTTGTATAGTCATATCATTTCATGCCGAAGACATTCTTTGCACCTTTGCACAAAAAGTTTGTCTTTCTGGAACACCCTTTCAAAATTATTGCATATTTATTTGGTGGAATCCATGTGATTAGGATTCAATTTTTTATGGCCTTTACATCCACATGAACCATATGGTAGTCCTTGTCGCTGATTTTTGTTTTTAGTTCTACAGTAGAATCTCGTTACATCGAAGCGTTTGTGACTTTCAAAAACTGCATTACACACGAAAGTCCGTGAGAACGAAAAAAAAAGTAGTTTGATTGTCTCTATTGGACGGGGATAGAAAAAAGTAATTCGAAATTACGAGATTATATTGCGTAAAATGCATGTTTTCATCATTTACGAAAGTCGAGCGAACCTTTATTTTTTTTCCGTGCGGTTCAAACTTTTTCATGTAATTCAATGGAACAATCAGAATGGGTGAGAGGAGAGCAGGACGAGGTTTTGTATTCCATGTTCTGTCTATAGCTCTATACGATTTAATCTCGTTATAACGAATTAATATTGCTGAGAATTAATTTCTCAGGTCCCTGCTCAATATACAGAAAGTGATTTCAATTCAAATATTCGCGTCAAGGAATTATTTTTCTCAGTCTTGCTTTGTTGGAACAAGATTTTATTGAACTTATGAAAAACGTATTTACACTATACTGACAATTCTTCATTTTTTTTTAAATGCTGCTGCGGTCTCGTGATTCTAACAAATAGTCGAAGAGTGACAAGGTTGAGTGAAGCATAGTAATTCTCGATTGCATTGAATATGACGTGAAATTTTCAAAGTACGTGACTGCACAAGTATCTCAAATGGACAAAAAGATACTGTATTTCAATTTTTTTAAATAACTTCCATTTCTACTTTTTTTTCGCACGCACTTGAACTGCGCCCGTCATCACAAAATAATCTCACTCGACAAGAAATCACAATATAAAAGATCACTCTCATCAGGGACATTTTCTCGCGCATCATGAGACGAACAAGCATTGAATGATGCCCTCGCATTCTTTAGACGGGGTTAGTGTCAATATAAACGGACAAAAGTCGCCTAATTTCACGTATCATTCTGTCCGTCACTTGTTGTATTCCATCATCCTTCCACCTATCGGTTAAACCCTCGGCGACACGTCAGAAAGAATAGACGCGAGAAAAGAAAAATGAATGAACACAAGGAGAGAAAAGGGAAAGAAAAACAGGATGAACGAATGCGCGTTATTCAGGATCATCTGCTGCTACTTTCCTGAGCCGTTTTTCGCGATATCAACCAGCGGCAGCATTTTTCCCTCTTATCGCAGATGACGAAAAAATAAATCCCTAGGTTTATGCCTGAAGTTCAGGTACATTTGTTTGTGAATACAGAGGAAAAGAGAGAGAGTTTCTGCTTGATAATCAAAATATGAATGCGAATATACTGTATATAGAATTATGATCACTTTCCTTGATTCTGGCATTAGAAAGAAATACAGTGAGACCCCCACATGCGGACACCACAACCTACGGACAATTTGACATAGGGATTCTTAATTTCTCATGAAAATTTAATAAAAAAAAGGCCCAACATGAGGACACTGACTCAACACAGGGACATTTTGTGATAGAATTACAAATACATTTCAGGTCAAATTACAAGAAACAGATATTTCCAACCCTAAAATTGATGAAGAAAAGTTCTTGGGAATTTCTCTCATCAATTTACCATCCATTTAGCTAATTAGAAAAAATTACCTCCAGCAGAGAGGGACTTCCTTCTCTCTTTTTCACTTGAATATTCTTTTTACAAAGGAATGCCAACATTTCTATGTACTGTATACAGAGGTACAGTATTATTATTCAATCCCCCAAATGTCCATATAGTGTTGAGATATATTGATTAGAATCATGTTAAATGGAGACAATTTTGTTTTCATGGAATTATCGTGAGTATTTTGTACATAAAACAAAATGTATATAACGTAAGTCTAAGGGATAATGTGACTTGACTTAGGGACACTCTTGATGCACCAATTACATCTACATCTTGGGGTCTCACTGTATATGCTGAGTTTTAAAGTGAGGTCAAAGAAAATTAATAAATTTACTGCAGCTCTTATTTCTTATAATACTTTTTGCTTGTGACTCATTGCATAAGAAGCTACATTATTTGGATCAAATTAAAAGTAAGTTGAATTTAATTGAAAAGCAAGCTGTATTTTCTGCTTTTCAGCATTCACAAGGTGAATGTACATTCTTGTAGCATTGTTTGCACATGAAATCTCATTCCTTCCCCACCAACATTCACCCAAACACATTCCATCACAAGAATGAAAAAAGCAGTACTGTATGTGGGAATTAAAAGAAATGAAAATACGTTCCAAAAATGTACAATTTTACACCTGATGTAAAATGTAAACACTTTCTTCCCCCCCCCCTGATGAAAAAAGATAACTAAAAAAAATTTGAGCATAAGGCAATTATTGAACCCAAATCAAAGAAAAAGCTGTTCAGCCTGCTCCTGCATAAGTTTCAGTTGATTAAAACAATTTTTAAAGAATCTTTGATGAGGAATCATATAAAGTCAACAGTTTCTCTATTGGTCCTTTAAGATTTTGGAAAAAGTATTTTCATTGAATTTTCAAAGTACCAAATCTTTTTGAAGCCCATTTCTGTAGCGGTGGAATGCTAGTTTAGAAATGAACCTTGAAAGCAAAAGCGTTGTTGGTCAAAGTGAAACTAAAAATGACCATATACTTAAATTCTGCCAAGTTTTCCCATGAATTTTCCAACAACAAAAAAGATGCAAAGTGATGTTGAAGGGATTAAGGAGAGCAAACAATTGAACTTATGCTTTTCTTTTTTCAGACAGCACTTGTGAAATTCACACTGAAAAAGCCAGATTATTTGATACAACTACGTTGACTAGCTTTAAAATAAACCTTGAAATTGAGATAAAGAGAAAATCCGTGGTCATAAACAGAAAAAGAGGAATAAACAAAAATCTTATTGAAATAATTGACTTTTTCTTGGAATTTAAGAAATA